GAAACTACTGTAGTTAGATAAGTCTAATTTGCCACGTTTTCTACAATTTCTATGCTAGTTGTTGTATTTAAAATCTATTAACCAGTGTCTGAGCCGTCACTTACTGCAAGTATGAAATATGAGTATAAATAATTAAATTTTCTTCCCCTTGATTAACTGACCGATTATATTCAAGTTGTGATTAAATTCATGTTAAACTAACATTTATTTATTTAATTTTTGAAAACAATGTTGAGAATTTCTTTCACATCAGTTTGTTTCCTTTTATATTAAGATTAAGTTTACATTTTACTATTTAATTACTTGCCAACTTTTTTCTTCTATTTTTCTAATAGCGGAACGGAAGATAAAAATATATAGGTTTGATCGGGGAGCCTAAACGTCTTGTCATCCGGTTTCACTGGTAGAAAAAGGAAAAAGAAGAAAATGGCAAGTAATTAAATAGTAAAATGTAAACTTAATCTTAATACACAAATGAAACAAACTGATGAAAAAAAAATTCTCGACATTATTTTTAAAGAATAAATAAATAAATGTTAGTTTAACATAAATTTAATTATAATTTGAATGTATCAATTAGTTAATCAATGGAAAAGGAATTTAATTGTTTGTAAATCGTTGACACTTCATCGTTTAAATGAAACGTTTGTTGAACATTTAGAGGCATTATAACGAAATTATCCAAATCTTTAATCAGTGCCACTAGTCGCGAAAAACGCGTTAAAACAGTGAAAGTTTCAACGACTCTAAGCGTTTAAACGAGTAAAACATGTTAAAAGTAAATTTTTCATAAACCGTTTTAACGCGTTTTTGGCGACTAATAACACTGTTTAATGCCGTTTACAATTGTCATGTTTAAACGCCGTTTTTGGCGTTTTCGTGTCTTCCTGGGTAGTCTTGAAAGATTGATTCTTTCTCTTAAATTAATATTAAGTTTAGTGTTTTCACAGTGTATTCTTAAGAAAATCTTTTCCTCTTCTTTTATCTACTTTAACTCTCTCATCACAAAATCAAACCGTAAACAAATCAATGTCTTCTAAACTACACTATTTAGGAAACAAACAAGTGTTCAATAATATAGAATTTTAAATAGAAATAGTTAACAAAAATCGAATTCTTGTGGATGAAGTAGAAAACTTGAAACACTAAGTTTTTTTTATTTATCATCATAAAAAGTCATGAGATTATCAACAATAAGAATGTAAAATATTTGTAGAGGTATCAAAGTTGGCTATCGTTCCTTTATCCAATATAAGAATACGATCATGTTTTACCACTGTATTCAACCGATGAGCAATGGGTAGAATAGTTCGATCTTGAAATTTATTTTTAAGTACTGCTTGAATTAGATCATCTGTTTTCTCATCAACATTAGCTGTTGCTTCATCGATCAACAATATTTTACTTTTCTTCAGGACGACTCGTGCGATGCATACTAATTGACATTGACCAATACTCAATGTTCTACCCCATTCAGCAATAGGCATTAGAAGACCTGCTGAATGATTGCTCACAAACTGCTTTAGTTGAGCATCTTCAAGTGTCATCCAACATTGTTCATCAGAATAATCTTGAAATGGATCAAGATTGTATCGAAGAGTACCACTGAATAGAACAGGTTGTTGAGGAATAACACTGATATGAGATCGAAGATGATTAAGTGTGATGCAACTAATGTCAATATCATCAATGAAAATTTCACCGTCAACACGTGATCGATTAACAAGGCGAAGAACAGCTTTGAAGAGTGATGATTTTCCAGCACCTATAAAGCGCAGGAAAAAATTTTAGCACACTTTTTAGTACTTAGCTGATTTTGTTATTATTTTACGATAGTTGAGAATTGTTTTATATACTGTTCGGTGCAGAATTCAACCGGATACATTCTGGTAAAAAGTACCTGTTCTTATATTGAAAAATTACCTCAGAATTAATGATTAGTGATTAATGAAGGAAATTTTTATTTATTTTCGACTTCTGTGTATGTCATATGAAACAGCAATAAAAATCGAACAAAATTGTATTAACGTTATTTCGACATTGATCATCTTGATAAGATTTTTAGAGCATGTACACTTTTAATTAGAGATAGTATTCATTAATTTTAATTAATTCAACTACTAAACGAAACTTTAAATTTCCAAAAACCAATAGAATTTGAAGAACCATATTAGCTCTTTCAAAGAAGACGCCGCTACTCTCACTGTAGTGCATCTTTCACATTTTACAACTCTTTCAAATGTCACAATACCAAAGCAATAGAGAGGGTGTGGGTGTGGATCTGGATTTGGGGTCTGGGTGTTGGTGGGTGTGGGCGTCATTGGAGAGATCACTCACACTCACACCCACACACCCTGCCACACCATTCATCTAATTTTTTCGAAGTTAGTGTCTTTTTACTATTGTCTCTCCCTGTCGCACTACAGAGCAGTAAAAAAAACTTTTGAGATAATTATTTGTATGGTTTTGATGTATGATTGAATTTTAAAAAGTTTCTTAAATTCAACTAAATATGAATAAATTTAAAAAATAAACGTGAACTGATCACATTTTATTTGAATATTCACTTCTTACAATGCATACTTAATGAGAGACAAGAGCTACAAACAAGAGAGAAACGGCAGCAGTATCTCGAATTTATCAGTATTTAAAAGAGAGAATAGTAAGTTGTAAAAAGCGCAGAAAAAACAACGTGACGCAAAGACTTGTTACAAATATGCTTAATAAAATTAAGAGTAATTATACTACTGACTCGAAGAAACTTTATATCATTCGTTAAAATAAAAAATTGATATTCTCTGTAGACAGTTGATCCTTAATAAATAAAAATTTTCATTAGAAAAATTATTTTAAGCAGCAGAACGACAGTTATTGAAACTTAAATTTACACGATCAAAAAGAGAAGATAGCATTTATTAAATTTTCCTCACTGATCTATTATGAATTTCTTTTACTGTAAACTGTGTTCTGCTACATTTCGGTGGTATACTAGGACAAAAAAAATCGATACTCAACTTTGATCAAGAATGAAATGTCAAAAACTCAAACGGTACGAGTGTCGAAAGGCAGACATGTTGAAAACGACAGTTGATCACAGTAACAATTTCAACCATCCTAACCATCAGTTTACATCAGAGATGTCCATCGCGCCGCTGCCGCGGTCGCGGTCGCGGTTGGCGACGCGGCAGCGGCAGGTTTTTTTTATAGATTTGTGCGGCGCGGCAGATCATTCATAACGGTGCCGCGGCAGCGGCTTTTCGTTTTTTAGCCACCGCGGCACGATTTTTTTGCAGAAATTTACTCTATAATTCTAAAAACTTTCTAGCTTCACAGCTGAAATTAAACTAGTCTTTCACATAAAGTAGACAAATTAAGTTCTTTTTCTAAATTTTGCATTTTACGGTGATTTTAAAGTGCGGAGACTAATAAACGCTACCATTTCCTTCAGATTCTTTCGTTGTTCCATGAAGAACTTAAATAGTCAATGTGATCTCAGAAGCTATACTTGTTCTATATATACTTAGAAGTTATTTGTTACTATAGCATCTAAACCGTTATTCCTCATTGATTT